TCCATTCTGGATAAGCAATGCTGAGGCCTTTCCTCCCTCTTTCCTGCCTCTGCTTGGAGTATGTCAGGCTCTTTCCAAGTGCCCCTCTCAGTGGAGTGCTTTGGGAGTGCCAGTGGAGGTGTTCTTTCCTACCTCCCAAGTGCTGTGCAAGCGTGAAATCACATTACAGCAACAGCTCCTAACTGGCCAGACCTCACTTTCCCTTCACTTTTAGATTCCTGCAGGGGCTTTATTTGCAGTCATCAGGTACCTTGTGTTTATCACCTATTGAATGGAATATGCACTGGCAAGTTCTTCACACAAAGCAGAGAACAAACATGTTTGGAGCAGAGCCTGTTTGGGCACAGAGTAGGGCAGGTCTGACAAGGCCATGCTGTACCAGCTCTGGACAAAAGGTAGCACCAGATGCTCAGTTCTGAAAGAGAACAGCCAGATTCTAAGAGCTGGGGTCTGTCCTGTCCCTGCTGGCACAGAGGGACATCTGAAACCCAGCACAGCTCAGTGCAAGCCAGAGTTTTCATCCATTTGAAGTCACTCACCTGTTGGTGGATCTGTCAATAAATCCTGTGCAGAAGATCCTGCAGCCACTCAACGCCTAAACACAGTTGCCCTGTGGAGAAAGTTTGCAAGCTTTTCTCTGACCTTAAAATTTCTGCTCATTTCAGGTGGCCCCAAAAGGAGCCATCCCACTGTGCCTGGAATTCCAGGTGGAACAAGAGCTGGGGCAGGTAAAATAGGGAGGATGATTGCTGAAGAAATCATGGAGATTCACAGGTGAGAGAAAATGGTTTGAAGTGAAGTTGTTTTACTACTGTTCTTCAAGAGGAGTTAGACTTCCTTAATTTCCTCTGAAAGAACAATTAATTCAAGCTGAATAAGGAATGATCCCACTGTCCTTCTGAGGCAGCTGCAGATTCCTGTTCAGCATCCCTGAGGCAGTCAGCCCCCACAGGGAAGGCAGGAAGTTCCAGCCTTCCAGCTTCCTGCTGCAAAAGACTGATACTGGCATTTCTTTGCAGTGGTGATGATGATGATGATGCCCTGTTTACCAGAAACAGGAGTTTAAAAGAGCAGCTACCTAGAAACAAATCCATTCCTGACGTTCTTTTCCCAGTGACTTGAGGCTGTGAGTGGCACAACCTCCAAATGCCGAAGCTATTGACTGTGTGTCAAAACAGCAATGTTTGTTTTTGTGCAGTCCTAAAGCTCAGATGCTTTAGGAGCTGTTAGATGTGCATGATGAGCTTTGCAGTTCCCCTGCAGCTCCTGGGGCAAGGACACAATGCTGGGGCCTTCCCATGGCAGTCAGGATGTGGGGCTGGGTCAAGCACAGGGTCACTGTGGGACTGTGGGGATCCACAGCTGCTTCTTGTGTTCTCACCTGTGTGAGCAGCTGCTTTCCATGGCTACCACTTCATTTCTGTTGGCTAAAAATCCCTGTTCCCCACTGATTTCCTCTTGGGAACCGTGTTCTCTTTTCCTATAAAAAAGGGGTCTCACCCAGCAGATGTTTGGTGGTAGCAATTTAACCAGTCTGAGCTGCAGCCCAGGAACACATTCAGTCTGTTTCCCATAGTTGTGTTCCTGCTGCAGGCAAGAGACTCCCTCTGTCCTCACTTCAGGCAGCTGCAGCCCTATCCCTATGGCTTCATTCCTCTCTGTAGGAATAGGATAAAAGGGAAAGAAGGAAAGAAGAAAAACATGGTTGAATCATTACTTCTAAGCTTAACCATCCCTTTTAGTAGCTGTATAACATTTAATTAGCCCGAATGAGTGTAGTAGTGCAGTTAGCACCCATGTTTGCATTTCAGTTCGGACCCTGGGTTAGTTCCAGTCCTTTTTCAGCAGCTGTTACTATTTTCCAAAGCTGCCTTCTGTTCAGCTTTCCCAGGGGAACTCTGCCAAGGAGAAGAATCCCATTTCCATTGCTTTTCTCTGTAACTACCCCTCCTCCCTTTAGTCTGGAGATTCATTGGTCCTGTAGTCAATACATTATTCATTATTAATGATGTTTGATCAAGCTGTGGAAAATGGAAGTGAACAATGTGGCTTTGAGCAGTTACAAACAATCCAGTGTCCAGTGGACTTCTGTAGCAGGAGCTCACTGGAGGAGTCTGGGTTACTGTGACTGAGGCAGCTGGAACTCTTAGCTGGTGGAAATTGAAGTAAAATACTCAAAAATGAGGCTTTCCTTGGCAGCCCTTAGGACCTTTTCCTTCTGACTCTGTGAAGGCTGCCCAGGAAAAAAACAGGGAGAAGGTAAAGCTTGCAGATCAAGCAGGCTGGATTTACACAGGACTGATGATCTGGCTGCAAATAACAGCATTGCTGCTCCTGCTGGTGTGAGGGAACACTGGAAAAGGGAGATTACAAAAATGAAGCCTCATGCCTTTAGCACCTTATGGGACTTGATATTGAAGTCAGCATTTAGAACTCCAAGTATCTGAGTTGCTTGTAAATGCATGCCCTGTTTTATGCCTGTTTTAGGATAAGGGGATCATCACCTTCCAGCTGTGGCTCAAGTCCCCTGAACATCACCAGCACCCCCCCACCCGACACATCCTCGCCAGGAGGGAAGAAGGTAAGAACAAGCCCCACAGTGGGGCAGGGGATGTGGGACTGTGCTCAGGGAAGAGCTGCTGGGCTGCAAAGAGGGCTGAGCCAAAGCACTGAGGTGGTGACACCGCTGTACAGCACTCCCTGAAGGGCAGCCAGCAGCACATCCCAAACTCCAGCAGTGTTTGACACTCACCTGCCCTTTAGGTTGGATGTTTTCAGCAGAGCTGCAAGGAACAGCTCTCCTCATGGCTCTCCACCCTCCAAAACTCTCTGACAGCCCATGCTGGTGAACGCTGGCAGTGCTGGCACTGAGCACAGGCTGTGCCTGAGTGAATCCCACCAGTGTTCCTGAGCACAAGCCAGCACAACTGGTGCTTGCCTGGGCTCAGAGGTTGTTTTCAAGTCAACACTGTGCACCTGCCTTGCTCTGAGATTGCTTGAGTAGCACTCAGGTGCCATTACCTGAACTCTTGTCCTGGCTGCTCCCAGCAATCTCTAAATGCTTATGGAAGTTTTATCCAAAGCAAGAACACTTACCCAGATCCTTATGCACTACTTCAGTCTCTTAACCTTTTTTTCTCAGAAATGATGATTTGCTTGTAAGAATTGCTTGTCCTGGAACAGACAGTAAATATTTCTGTCTGTTCTCAGCTCTCTTTGTTCTTGAACTAAAACTCCAGGTTGGAACAGAGTTACAATTCTGGTAAATAGTTATTCTTTCTTCTTCTGCCCTACAGTATTCAACATGTCCCCAGAACAGGGGCTGCTGGCATGGTATAAAGGAAAATGCAGGTGGAGGATTGAGTGTTTTCAGCACCCCCTTGATATTTCTCCTTATTTAGAAGATTGTTTGTTATAAACCACAGGGTTATATATCTACCCTATATTAAAATTTCCTGTATAGGACAGTTTAAGACTTAATGTACCATTTCAAGCTGCTTTAGAGCTTCTGTTTTGTCTTTCAAGATCTTGAATGGCGGCACTCCAGACATTTCTTCAGCTGGGCTGCTGTCTGGGCAAATCCAGGATAATTCTGGGTACCCGTATTCCGACAACTCCTCTATCCTGGGTAAGTGAAGTCACATGTGAACACCCTCAGTACCAGCTGAACACACATGCACACTGCAACAAGAGGGTTGGTTTTAGCAGTAATTTGCTTTTGCCATCTGCAGGCTCCAGCTGAGGCACAAGGCACTCTGTGTGCCCAAAGAGGCACCTGGCAGCCTATTTTACAAACTTAATGCTGGAATGTCCTTAGGTAGTGCTTGGAAGGCTCTTTCCCCGAGCTGGTGTGGTGTAGCTCAGCTGCTCCCCAGGTGCTGCTGCAGTGTTGTGTGCGCACTGGCACTCGGGTTGTCCCTGCTGAGGAGTGACCCAGTGTCCCTCCTCTGCCACCCAGCTGCAGGGGTGCCCCGGATGAGGCACTGCAGCAGGGTGGCAGCACTGTGTTCCCTGCAGGGGAGAACTCCCACATCGGCATGGACATGATCGACACGGAGCAGGGCTCCAGCAGCCCCAGCAACGACGAGGCGGCCATGGCCGTCATCATGAGCCTGCTGGAGGCCGACGCGGGGCTCGGCGGCCCCGTGGACTTCAGCGACCTGCCCTGGCCCCTGTAACCCACCCAGCACCCAACAGCCAAGTGCATTTACTGCTGGAGCTCTGCGGTCTGTGGAACTCGTGGGACTGAGAGGCTTTTATGTGGGAACTCCATAAAAGCTGTGTCAGAATGCAACTCATCCTACCGTGTGTAACTTCAGACAAAGTGGAATAACCTGCTACAGTGTTCTGTGTTGATTTGGTTAGCTGTGTATAGCTTGCAATACTTGTATATTTTGGATTCTGTTGTTTGAAATTTTTTTTAAATCACTGTGCAACTCACTGGCATCAGTGGTAGCTTTTATATGCAAATGACCATTTCAGATGTATGGTGTGTTTTTACACTGCAAAACGGTCCCCATGTGGATATTTCTTATACTAATTGTACCATAAAGCTGTTTATTCTTTCTTGTAAGAATCCTTTACTATAAATATTGTTAAAGTGTAATGTATTAGACAGTTAAATATTTTTAAAATAAATGTTTCCCTTGTTCTAAGATGGAGCATTTACTTTGATAAATAAATTTGATAAAACCCTGCTGAAGGTGCATGCTAGAAGCACTTGGTATTTATCATTTCTTTAGCCTTGGGGGAAAAGGGAGGAAAGCCAGTGCCTTACCTACACTTACACAACTTTGTCACAACAGTATTCCCAGAGAAGCTCCTGTTACTTACTCCTAGATCCAGGTTTAGCCTAAGAAAAGCACAACAGGTAGGTGCATTGAAATAGGCTGATTATCTTAAAGAAATACTTGTTTTTCACTTAATATTAACCATTCTTCCCCTGAGGAAAGAAAAGCAACTAATTGCAAAATTCATCATTTGCAGATAATTCAAGCCCATTAAAATAATGGAAAGTTTATTTGCATGAAAAACTTGTTTACAATCATTAATAAATGAAGAATGAACCATTTGCATTTTCCTATTTCATGACACTTAAGAAAAATGTATTAAATAAATATTTGTGAACAGCTTAAGGTAAGGCAGAATTTAAGATAAAGCCCCTGTCCGTTGTTCACAATTTTTGAACATGGCTCACGCTGCAAACAAGTGAAAAAATTCACTAAAGAACTCGAACAAGATGTTACATGGGTCATTGAATCACGTCCTCAATCCAAAAACCCAAGAGTAAGTAGTTTTGTGCTCAACCATATACAATAACTTTAAAAGGGTCAATCTATTCAGAGCAAAGTTATGTACAGTTAATACCTTTGATAGAAGCACTTTGTTAGTATTGTGCAATACATTTATAAAAAATGGCTTCAAATTCCATTTCTCAACCATTTGTAAAGTGCTACTATCAATTCCCACTCTGCTTCTTAACCCCGTGCCACGACAGCGCCGCGGGGCCGCGGAGCGGGGCCAGGCCAGCTCACGAGTCACCCACGTCACAAACCTACTGGTAAACACAGACACGAACGTCACCGAGCCCGGCAGCCCGAGCTGCACTCCTCCAGAGCAACCAGACATCCCCGGGGGCCGTGCCAGGTCCCTGCTGCAATATCCTACCACGGGAACACAATGGAGAAACTGGCGGTGCAGTGTGTATGAGCTGGGAGCAGTCACTGGGAGCATGCTTGTGCTGGGGCAGCGCCATCAGAGCGGGGGGTTCTGGCCCTCGGCCTCCAGCTCGCTGCTGCTGGGCGCGGGGTGCATGGGCAGGATGTCCAGCTCGTCCACCTGCGGCGTGGGGTGCATCACCACCAGCTGGTCCTGCGGGATGTCGGCTGCTGCCGCCGCCAGGTTGGTGATGGACTTGCTCTTCACGCACTGGAAGTCGACGTGCCGGCTCTTCCCCTCCTCCTTCTCCCACGACATGCGGATGAATGGCCGCTGCACGTAGTTGTAAATCACCTCCGGCCTCCCGCCCGGCCGCTTCTTCACCTTCTCCTTGTACGTGGGGTAACCTGGCAGAGGCAGGAGCACAGCAACATCAGTCTGACTGCACAGAGCACAGCAACATCAGCCCTGCCCTACAGAGCACAGCAACATCAGCCCTGACTGTGCAGAGCACAGCAACATCAGCCCTGCCCTACAGAGCACAGCAACATCAGCCCTGACTGTGCAGAGCACAGCAACATCAGCCCTGACTGTGCAGAGCACAGCAACATCAGCCCTGACTGCAGAGAGCACAGCAACATCAGCCCTGACTGCACAGCAACATCAGCCCTGACTGCACAGCAACATCAGCCCTGACTGCACAGAGCACAGCAACATCAGCCCTGACTGTACAGAGCACAGCAACATCAGCCCTGACTGCACAGCAACATCAGCCCTGACTGTACAGAGCACAGCAACATCAGCCCTGACTGTACAGCAACATCAGCCCTGACTGTACAGAGCACAGCAACATCAGCCCTGACTGTACAGCAACATCAGCCCTGACTGCACAGAGCACAGCAACATCAGCCCTGACTGTACAGCAACATCAGCCCTGACTGCACAGAGCACAGCAACATCAGCACTGCCCTACAGAGCACAGCAACATCAGCCCTGCTGGGACACACAGCACAGCTCCCCCTGGCACTGCCAGTGCAGATGGTTGTGCTGTGGTCGAGTCACCTCTCCCTGTGCCCCAACAATAAAGTCCATTTTACACATTACTGCAGGGCAGCAGCATCACAGTTTGGTGCCACAGCTGTTCCTTGTCAAACCAAGAAATGCCAGCAGAAATAATCTGCTATTAGCCAGCATTACAGGCAGGGCCAGTTCTTGTTTAGCTAGAAGGCTGCCACCTTGTTCAGCTGAAATTAGTTATTTTAGAGCTCACCAGTTAAAAGCATTTGCTTTATCTTGGCAAATTACAAGCGTAACTATGACAACTTGGTGAGTGAATGATAGAAATCCTGCTAATTATAAAGGCTGGATTCTAAAATATCTGGGTCAGCAATCACAAGGAAACTGTAATGCAAAGAAACCCAGTTCTTACATTCACGATAAAAATCAGATTACTCAGTGAGGTATTACAGAGCAGCCTCCTAACTTACATGATGTTTATTTCAGATCAGTATTTCTTTGCACTTCATGGTCCACTGGACAGTTTTGTACTTCCTGAAAGAAAATGCCTGCCTGCCACTTAACATAACATTTTTCATTTTACACCCTGGAAAGGATACCAGCCCAAGAACCCAATATCCAAAGCTATACAAATGCCTTGTTACTTCAAACCAAGCACAGAGAATATTTTGTGTGGAAACTAAAGGGCACAGGGCATGAGATGCAAGTCATGAAGGCAGGAGAAAGCACCTAAGTTGTCTGCACAGAGCCCAGCAGCCAGACACAGCTTGGACACCAGCCTGGAGCCCATAGTCAGGTTTTCTAGCTGGGTACCATTCCCTCTCTGGCCATCCTGTCACCCAGCCTCAGCAGGAAAGACAACACTGACCCCTTGCTTTTCCACCTACAGAGAAAGCCATGCAGCAGAGAAGTGCAGCAGACCCTGAAGGCCAAAGAGGGAGAGCACAAGCAATGCTTCCCTTACCTTCGATGCCCAGTCGGATCTTCTTGAGCCCCCTTTCCTTCAGAACTGATTTGGCCACGTCTCTATTTTCAATGTATTTGAAGAATCTATACAACTTTGTGCTGTAAATAACTAAAAATACATTTTAATGAGAAAAAAACTCCCTGTATGAAATATTAACCTTCTAGCCTTAATTTATCTTTTCCACTGTTTTGCTTTACTTTTGTATTTTTATTTCAGAAGAGCAAGAGAAACTCAAGAAATCTAGAGAAAAACTGCTGAAGATACTGGGGAATGGGTTGGGTGCACATCTTGCAGGGAAATACAGTCCATTTACAGGTGCTGAAACTCATCATCCACACAACTGTAATATTCCAAAAATAGTAACACTTGTTTTTTTCCTCAAAAAAACCTCTAGTTGTTCTCCCACGGTAAACATGACTCCTACCCATTTCCCTTCTCAAGCTCATTCTACAGCATTTTCTTCCCCCTCACTGGCTGACCATATCTTAATAATAAAAATTAGCTTCTCGTTTTAATTACATTTGAACATAACAAGCAACATACGCTTCTGTGAAACAAAATATTATTAAGCAGAACTACTCAAACTAAGAGGTTTATTTCTGTACAACAACTTTAAGTCAGCACAATCACTGCTACCTCTACCACGGCTTGGTGAGAAAAGTGAGGATAAACTTACTTTGTGAATACTCCTCTCCCATTTGGGGGGGATACTCTTCATCCCAGTCAACAACATCATCATCTGTCAGCACAACAATGTGGCACTCCCTCTCCCCACTTTGGGCACTGGCTACCATCAATGGGAGAATCATTTCTTCCAGGTAAAACTCAAATTGCTTGCGAGCACCATCATTTGACAATTCATGCATGAGAGCACCTAGAAAAAAAATTTAAGCATAGGCACATTTGAGAGCTTGGTAAAGAGATGAAGGCAGCAATAAGAAAGAGTAGATCTGTTTATCTGGTAGTATTACTGCAGACAGGTGTAAAGACACTTAGTCTATGAGCTTATGTAAGTTCAGACCTTGTTTGAGTATTTACCAGCCTGTCCTGCAGGTACTAACTGCAGGATGTTAGGCAGACTTTGAGATCTCTTTGCGTTTTACTACTTCTAAATATTTGGTAACTGTGCAAGGCTGCTCTTGATTTTCCTAAAAGAAACATCATTTGAGCCAGTTGCTGGGAGAGCAGAGCACACAACCCATGTTTCATAAGCAGCAGCTTAAAACCAAAGCTTCTCAGAGCCCTGAGGGCAGGAGCTGCTAAATTCCTGGAAGGACAGAGAGCTGGGGCATGGGGCAGGGGGGGTGGCCCTGCCAGGGAAGGCACTGGGGTGCTGCACAGCATTCCCAGCAGGAATGCCATGGGCTGGCCCTGCATTGCACACACAGGGAGAAGACACAGGCCAAGGCTTGGGCTGTGCTCAGGAGTGAGGGAGCTGCAGACAACAGCAGTGCTGGCAAACCTGGAGCAGCCCACTCCACCAGCAAAGCTGTGCTACTGCCACCAGGGAGACAGCCCCATTCTCCTAAGCAAGGAGATGAAAAATTATCCTCTCTGTCCTCTGCAAAAAAAGGTACCACTGAATGTAACTGTATCTGTTCTGCAAATGCAACCACAGAGCTAAGTATTCCACAGGGTGACCACAGCACAGAATTAGATGCTGAAATATCAGACATTTTCCAAAGAACATAAATCCATTGGTTTTAGGGCTTTATTACATAAGAGATAAAAAGGGATGGATTTTATTCATGTAGTGCCAGCCATCTTCTTTATCTCAATAAAGGACATGATTTAGAATTAACACACATGCACTTAAGTCAATTTCTATAATTCAAATTATTTTAATAAACTCTGTACTTACTCAGATCTCTGCATTTTATAGTACTATACTCAAAGGAGATACAGAGATAGTCACATGCTTCCCTCAGTTCAGGAATAGATATCCCATCAGGACAGCGTATCACCCCAGTCTTGTAGTAATCCTGCAGGATGCACCAAGAAAAAACACAATGCACAACCTTCACCAACAGGAACATTTCATAATTTCATTCATGATACCTTCTCCACAAAGAGAGCCCACAAAATGGAAGACAGCAACAAATGTTAAACTTTGTGAATCTTCCTGTCCTCAAATTTATCAGCTTTCAGAGCTGCATTCAGGGCAGTGAGTTCTGGTTAAAATTGTTATTTAAGTAACAACTATTATTACAGATAATTTTGCTGTCTTTTATCTATACTTCACTGAGCTCTTCCCATTCCAAGGCTGCTGACAAAGCAGTCCAGCACCTCTACTTCCTTGTGTGGATATTAAATAAGGAGCCATTTCCATCTCAGACTGAAGTTTGCTTTACTCCTGTTAGCTGTGTGAAGTTCACTTCCAGTATTCTGTTTCACCTAATTTCAGCTCTAGAAGGGCAGAATATACTTGAATTTGGTGAACTAAATGCATAGGAAAAAGTGACCTGATTGCTGGCAGCAGTAATTTTTGGTTTCTTTCATGTGTACTTTCTCTCTCCCTCACTGTCACGTGTTCATGTCTAGGAAAAAGGGGTCTAGGAAAAGCATCTTCTTCCCTCTACTAAACAGTATGAAGAGCAGTATCTGTGCCATCCACAAAATCTAGATATGCAAGATGGATTAAACCAAGAGGTTTTACTTCTTGATAGTGCTTGTCCTAACAGTATTTGCCCCTAAAGACTCACCAGAATAGCACGAAACACAGTGGAACCAATTCCTTCAGCAACTTCATACTCTCCTTTCTCATTGGGCCGTGTAAAGTTGTGTTCTCTGCCTGATCCAAACATCCTGCTCAAGAATGAAAGTAATTTGGGTTAGAATTCCTCGCTATGGTTTTCTCGTTTGTAAATAAGAAAAATAAAATTCAATAAATTGTACAGAAACTGCAGGGAAAAGCAGTGCATTCTGTTCAGTTGGGATTACGTTTTTCACTTCATGACCTGACGTGCCTTTTCTGACACTCTACAAGAAATAATATTTAGAAAAACACAGCCTAACAGGATACAGGCTTAAGGCAAATAACACATTCTTATTATAGTTACTTTTACCTCCCAAGCTGTTCCTGCTTACTGTCCTGAGGGCTGACATTGAGGGAAAGTGGATTTATAAATAACCTGCGTGTGAGAGCACTATTTCCATATCTTTATTAACCTACTTTTCAATTAGCAGAGGATAAAATAAGCTTGTTCCTTGAACCAATCCCAAAGGGAGAATAACTCAGCATCACACATGCACGAAAAATCCAGTGCATTAGGCAGCATCACTTACTCTAAGGCTGGGCACGGAAAAGGAAACCTTCATTGCTTTTTTTCAGCTGATACACGCTTTCAGTCTGTCTGGATATTTACATGTATGCATGTATTGTATAATATGCAAGTGCTTTAAATCAATTATTTAATTCTATTGATTCTTATTTCCACTGATTTCTTTTGACAGTTTAGACAGAGAAGCATTTCTTGCCTTCTCTGTGACTCACCCAGCTTTTCACAAAACAGGGATCCAAGGTACTATTTATCCCACACTGCAGTGATTTAAACAGAGCAGAAATAGTTTAATCACATTTATTACCTGTCCTGCGGCAAAGAGATTTATATACGTGTATTTTAAATATTATTATATCCTTGTGTGCTGAGAAATAGCTGTATTTTAATGAAAAAGCCAAATCCAAAGTGACACAGACAAACCTTTCTTTTCTTTCTTGATGCAAGATTTTAAGTGGTGCCCTCTGCATTTGGACAAGGCAAAACCAACCAGAACTTGAGCAAGTCAAGTATTGAATCTCTTCCCACCAAGCAAACATGTTAAATATATTGCTCATTATAGGTTTCTACAGAAAACATTACACGCATACTGTGCACTTGCATTCAAGTGTTGATCATTTTGAGCATTCAGCCTCTCTGCTGAGTGGCTCAGGGCTGCTATACTGATTATTTGACATTTCAGAAGATAAAAGGGCTGACCTTGAACATTGTCGGCGTAGGCCCACTAAGCAAAATAAATTCTTTCAAGATTTTCCTCCTTGCTGTTTTGAAACAGACTATCTACACTCACTATGCCACTTTGTTTTATGAAGCACCTAGCTTTAAAAATGAGCAAGAGTGAGGCAGACTGAACATAGAAGCAATGCCCAGGAAGACAGAAAGAAATGGGAACATCATGAAATGGTAATTTATTTATCAGCTGTCATATCTAGGTAAGAGACATCTCTTGGCTTCCCTGCAAAACCAGAGAACTTGCATTTGATTTTTAAGGACATTTGTGATTGGTAATATGTAACATTAGCAAGATCAGCTGCAGCAATATGAGACCAACAGGTATTCAAACAGTTTAAATATCCACAAAGGATTATTGGCTCTCTGGAACAGTTGGGGACTAAGGAAAAAAAAAAAAAAAAAACCAAAAAAAGATACAGACCTGCCCAACATTGTGTTAGGTTGTGCAGTGAAGATGGAAGGATCTACAACAAATCTGGTGTTGTCCACGATGAGCGTTACTCGCTCAGAAGTTCTGACATTCCGAGCTCCCTCTTTGCCATTTTCATACACAAACACCATTTCCCCACCAGCCTTGCAGCTGCCATCTGAGCTGGACTGGCTGCTGTTCCTGCTGCTGGTGCCCATGCTGACCACAGAACCATTGGGGGACGTCTTCTGGGGCCGGGGGCTGCTGGGCCGGGATGAACTGTGATCCTTCTCGCGATCTTTGGTGGTGACAAGGTGGAAGGAGAAAAAACAGGAAATGAAATTATTCATTTACAGGAGTCCTACGGAGTTTGTGTCTTTCCGGGCACAAAACACATCCATTTGAGAAGTTAAGTACAAATTATTTTGGTTAAATCTATTCTGGTTGAAAAAAACTTCAAAAGTAACTGCCCATTTATGAGATTCCAAAGTCTGTATCACCTAAACATCAAATCCACCTCACCTTCCCCAAAAATCTTTACAAAGAAAATTTACTACTCTAGTACTGAAAAAAGAACTCAGCACAGGAGCTATTGCATCACAGTTGGTGCTACAGCTCAAAGAAACAAACCATATTTTGTCACCTAAAAAAATCCCCACTTCCTCAATTTCCAAATACCTAGACCCTACTGAGTAAAGTGAATGTATTCAGTCAATTATCTTATAAAAATCAGATTGCTCTTGTGATTTGAACTAAATAAGAGCATCATATAGGAATACACACTGTAGACTGGAAAAAAAAGTTGCAGCCTATCAAAGAAGGGTATTCCTAGCCCAGGGCATATGTAAGAAATCTGCATGTTGTGCCATCAACATATAACACTTTTTATTGTATATCCTTTAATAAAATAGTACTCAAATTCAGAGAATTTTAATCCTGAAATGGCAGAGATCTGCACACACCAGAATGATACTGTCTTGTTGGTGAAGTGACATTCCTGATGCATGGAGTGAGCTGAGATTCTGCTCTTTCGTGGGATGAGTCACGAGATCTGTCACTGGACCTGCGCCTGTCCCTCGATCTCTCGTGTCCACCACTGGCACCATGGAGGCTCATTTTGGTGTAGTCTATTCCTTTAGCAACACGGGATGAGGTGCTGAAAGCAGAAACAAGTGACATCTTCAGCATTTCAAAGTTTCAGAGACATTACACATCTACATTTTCAAGGCATTCACACTCCCTGGAGAGGTTCCCAAGATTAGGATTATCCAACTCCATTTTCTTTGCTGCACTCATGTTTGTATTTACAATTACTTGGAATATTAAGTAGGCAGCAGGAATTACCTGTTTGCTGCTGTGTGATTTACAGAGACAGCACCTGATCAGCTGAGCCTGCCTGTGAATTCATACAAATCTCTTTCAGAACGGATAGGTCAAATACAAACAAGCATGGTTTTTTTTTTTTTAATTCTTACTGTTAAATTAAATGTTCTCATCAAAGAATGAAATTAGAAGTTAGGGATCTTTTTTTTTCCAATGCAACCTAGTTTGGAAAAACCTCCTCAGGCCACAGGCTGACTACACTTTTCCTGCAATTTGCCCTTTGCAAACGTAGTCAGTCTTAAATGAGGGGACACATCAAGACACATCAGCCAAGAATTTGTTTCTGCACATTTTGTTTTAAATTTTCACTTATTCTTAAAAAGAACAATAAGCCACTACAACCAGACATGGACTATACTATCAAAGCCACGACCTACCAGACTGTCAGTAACAAGTAGGATATTTGTTCCAAACCAGCAAATTTAATATAATAGTTTAAGATGTTTTAGACTGTGATTAAGTTACATTACTGAACTCAAGATATCAATTACATTTTGCAATTATTAAACCAACTAACAAAACTAGTCAGTTTTGAGATCTCACAACACCCTGAAACTATCTAAAAATTAAAAACCAAAGTGGAACAGCTATTGTTGAATTTGCCAAAAATCCTTTTATCTTCTATTTATACTCTTTAAAAGAGACAAGTTTATGTCTGGACAGCACAGACATGTCTGTGTCCTTGCACCCCACCAGAATTCCTAAAGCAGTTTTTGGCTGTTTACCTTTGAAGTGTGGGCATGACAACACTCCTTATTTATGGGTTTAACTGAAGAAATTCCCAAAGCCTCAGGTAGGAGATAACCCAGACAGACTCCTGCTACAAGGTCTGCCAGACAAAGCAGAGTCGTGATTTCCCAGAGGAACCTCAATGCCCCTCTTGCTTGCAACCTGCAGATCCCATAACTCCCACCAAGAGACCTGAAATAATGACTGCAGGAGTGCTGTAGGAGAACACAGAGAGGTAAGAATGATGGCCTGACTAAGACAAGCACAACAAATAGAAAAGCATTCACTGGACAAGCAGATTGAGTAGTGTCCTCTTTTTAGGTTGTTTAGAAGTAATGATAAAAAAAAAAATCAAGGCTTTCCACTAGCATGAGATATTGCAATTTCAGGTTTCAGAGATTGATAAGAGGAGCTCAACTGAGAATGAAGAGGCTGTGACAGATGAGTGTTTAGCACAAGGCAAGGAATCAGAAATGTACCTCTCACCACGGCACATGAGCTTCTCCCTGCCCTGCCAGAATGAGGGCAGGATCTCCTGTTGACAAAGCACAAGTTTGGTGCAGAGGGAATCTACTGCAATCCTGTTTCCTGCCAAGCTTAAAATATGCTGCAGTAAGAAATGCATCTTTGGGATGTGGAGTCAGCCAAAGGTCTATTGAATAAGGGAAAAAGAACTGCAAGCCTTGCTTCTGGCTGAAAATGCTCAGATTTACACTCCAAAAATAATGATCGAAGCACTTCCATTACAGGAAATTTCCTGAGGACTTCCAATGCAGTTCTGAAGGTATTAAAATTTATAACATTTCAGCACAGCTAACAAGCCTCCTTACTTGTTTTACCTCTTTAATAGAGAAAGGCAAATTCTTTACTTTGAAAGTGAAATGTGCAAAAGTTTGCAAGAGTGAGATCTGCAAACCTCCAAAAAAGCTGAAAACAATATCAACAATTTAGGAAAACCTTTGCACCTTTCCTTTGAGACAGATATACACATCCCATGTTACATGTTTACATGGTTACATGATGTAACCACTTTAATAGATAAAAAATACAACCATAAATTATTAGACACATGGATTACAGTCTCAAATTCAAGACCAAAGTCTAGCCCAAGTTTAAACATGACAATATTCATTACTACTACAACTAAACTTCCAAAAAGGCTATGATTTTTTTAAAATAAGCTCTATATCTCATCTGTGCATTTATATTTGCATGCTATGGTATAGTCAAGAGTGCCACAAAAGGGGGTGTGTATGTGTGGAGTACTCAAACACCTACATAGCAGTCGGGTGACAAAACATCTCTGCAAATCCCAATAAAGCCTCATGTGACCAGGCCTCTGTTGAAGCACAGCTTTGATCCTAGACCTGATAACATTTCCAGCCATGCTGTGAGAAAACAGAGTTTTGCAGGTGTCACATTTTATAGTATCAAAATGCATGACTCACTGTTTCTCAGGAGCTAAAGAGCTCTATTTGCTTTAAATAAGGGAAACACGCTAGAAAATTAAACTGAACCACTGTAATGGGATGCAGGCTTATCACACATTTTGGCAGAGCAAACACGAATTCCTCTTTAACAGAGAAGGCAATTAAAATGTGATTCTTAATCCAGAAAACCATCTAAAAGCCCCATTACCCTCCAAGCAGTGATTCAGAGTTCCCAGTGAAGCAGGGCAAAGCCTGGTTAATAATCTCTTCCAGGAGCTGATAAGAACAGGTGCTACAGGAAGCGACACTGACTCAGCTGGCACCACGCTTCCTCCTGAGCCATACCCCAAGGAAGGGCCAGGGCAGGCACAGCTGCCCCTCCCTGAATGGCAACTGGGGCACTTCTGCTTTGCTGCCAGCAGCCAGCAAGCCTGGAGGAGAGGGGCAGTGCTCAGCCATTATCCATCCTGCTCCTGCTCCTGCTGCCAGCCACGGCCATCCCTGCCGGGCTGGGGCCATCCATTCAGCTCAGCACAGCACACGGGAGAGAGGCAGAGCCTGCCAGCTGGAGGAGGACACTATCCTTGAATAGTAAATCAACTATTTATGAAACAGACAGATTAGCAAATAATTTCAAAGGGCTGTTCAAATTGCAGCTGGCCACAGCACTCATTTGCTTACTCCTATGTTGTACTTTCCTCCTTTAATGTACAGATTGATGGTAACTGTGAGACCAACGCATCATCTATTAGTCACAAGACGTAAGCCAAAATTGCAAGAGTTTTGAGAATTCAAGCAGTATGGCTTGAGAAAGCAACTGGCTGAATCATGAATCTTCATTCATCTTAGTAACAGCCATCTAAAACGTCAGTCTTAAATCTCATCACTGTTGAGTCACAATTCACAAAAAATAGTTCTTTGATCTGTTGGATGTGTAGCTGACAAACTTGAAGTTCCATGTATTCAACAGTATGAGCACTCAGATCAATGCTACTCCTTAAGTACAACTCTGCTCTACAATGAACAAGAAAACTAACAGGAGCTTAAATCTGAACAAAGAGAAAATACAGAAGTGGAGCTCAGCATGTCAGAAGAGACAGGCATTGGCTTTACCCTGTGACACCTGACTGGGAAAGTTGTGTCCCTGAGCTGCTTTATTGTTACTCTGAAAAAGGAACTCATTTGTGGCCAGTACATATGAAAAAAGACATGTGACTTTTATCTTCTTATAAAGAGGCTTTAGAAGAAGTTGCAAGTGTTCAAAGAAAAAGGAAGACATCAGAGCTACCAAGTAATTTTGATTTATTTGATAGAAAGACTTGGTCACCTCCTCTTCTCCCCCGGTAACATAAAGCCAGAGGGGCCAGGTGGTTGTTTCTGCAGGGAGCACACAAAGCCTTCACGGCTCACCAGCAATGTGAGGGACAAAGCACAAACCTGGCCCCAGTTAGGAAGGCAAGACAAACTGGCATTCACTGGGAGTCCCACAGCCGTGCTGCTGCAGCTTCCAACCAATCTACACCAGTGGACATGGGACTGACCAAAGCAGAGCTGCCCCATTTGAAGAACAGGCAAACAGGAATTCCTGTGGTCCACAAAGCACCAAGCAGACCAGATACACCACCAAGATTCCTCCAGCAGCAGTAGAACGCTTCAAGTTCCAAGTGCCAGGAAGCCATGGCTGCCATGCTGTATTCACCGAAATCTCAGCCACAGCACCCAGTGGAGCCTCCACAGAGCCTTACTTCAAGCCTCCAAGAAAGAGATCTGAAGCTACAAGGACCATCTCACCCTGAAAAGAAGTGTTTACAAAGTCAGCTTTCAACGGATTCCTCAGCTGATGACCACCAGCTGCATTCTGAACTGTGGAAGCCAAAAGGCACATCACCAACCCATAAGCAGAATTTTCTCCTGTGTGCTGAAGGACACATTGCATTTAATTTAAAAGTGTAAGAGAGGAAAAAGAACAAAGAAAACACCATTTAAATCCTCGTCCCTTCATTCACTAAAGCTGGAAAACACCCTATATATGCAGGGCCACCTAGTACCCAAAGTTTATGAAAGGGAAGAACATCTTGCTTTATCAATTACTTTCCTACCGGGGAAAAAAAGAAACATCTTCCTGTCCCCGTCCCCACCCCCCCCAATAAACCCAAACCAAAACAATCAAACAAGCATGAATATTCATGTATTTTGGCAATATTCACAAATTCAATACTCATTTTTCCCTGGTTTCAAAGGAGCACTGGAGCATGTGCACTACACCCATTCAAGAACTTTAAGTCAGTCATAGAAATTATCTTCCCCCTCAGACAGGGATCAAGGAAGAGATTTGTAAGAGAATGAGGCATTTTCTTTAAAAGCAGTTGCCTCATAAAGAAAACCAAATAGGCTCAAGGTTTTATTTAAGCAAATCTATTTAATATGATGTGAATAAGGGAAAAAAGTACCATCAAAATGGCAACTTGTCATACTGGTAATGCTTCCAAGAGCTGTTTTTAAAAAATGTAAATGCTCTTCAATTTAATGATGCTTTGGAGTCATCTGTGGAAGGAGAGCTTCAGTTTGTCTTTATACATAACAACAGATTGCTTTGAATATATTACTAATTATTAGAAGAAGTCATTAGACTGAATTAATCCTACTGCCAAAACAATTAGCATGTATTCCAACATAAAAATTCCATGGGCATCCTACCGAATACTGCCAATAAATATACTTGTTTTATACAACCAGCTCATGTCTACACAGAATTATGGTGCTTAACCAATATACTTATTGCTCCCAAACCCACCCTGAAACCTTAAATAAATGAAAAGAACACAGCAGTGGAAATTAACCAAGACTTTTACCCTTCTCCCCCCATCTATCTTCTAAAACTTCTATTAACTGGCCTTAAATTATAAACTTAGATCCACCCTTTGCTAGGGTGCTTCCCATCATCAACACTTGTAGAAACAAGCTATAGAGCTTTATCTATGCACTAAGTTACAGCTGCCACGCTCCGAGGCTTTAGAAGAAATCCCTTCTGCTCATCCTGCCAGGACTTACACAACGACAGCGCTTATGTCCCTCTTCCTCCCCCTCAAGCCTGTTCTTTGTCAGCAGCAGACATTTCAATTGACCTGTGCACACAAAGGACAGGTCTTCGCCTTTTCCTCATTCTTCTCTTGAATAATGCCCACACGATATTCCCGTTAACAAATACGCACCTTCCTCTCGTGTCTATCAGGGAGGAAACACAGAAGCACGGGAACAATTTCGGAATCAGAGCACAAAGGAATTCCGTTCCTTCCAAAAAGGCAGCTTTGAAAGCCAGATCAGCATCCTTGGGCATTACTTGTGAAGTTCAGCATATTTGATATTTCCATCGTTTCTTCAGTAGTTCACGGCACCGTCAGCGAGCTTTACTTTTCCCTCCATCATCCTCCCCCTCCAAGATACGCGCCCGCGGCTCTGCAGTGCGCGGAGCGCGGCTGGCAGCGAGGCGGCTCCTGGCGGAGCCTGACTCAGCCGAGCGCTCTGCGCGGCTGCCGTGCGGTGTGACCCCGCGGCTCCCGCGGGCCGCCGCCATTGGCCCCGCCCGGCTCGGGCACCGCCGCACCGCCGGGACAAGGCTACCGCCACTGCCCGGGCTCCGGCACCGCCGGGACAAGGCTACCGCCACTGCCCGGGCTCCGGCACCGCCGGGACAAGGCTGCCGCCACTGCCCGGGCACCGCCGGGACAAGGCTGCCGCCACTGCCCGGGCACCGCCGGGACAAGGCTACCGCCACTGCCCGGGCTCCGGCACCGCCGGGACAAGGTTACCGCCACTGCCCGGGCTCCGGCACCGCCGGGACAAGGCTGCCGCCACTGCCCGGGCTCCGGCACCGCCGGGACAAAGCTACCGCCACTGCCCGGGCACCGCCGGGACAAGGCTACCGCCACTGCCCGGGCTCCGGCACCGCCGGGACAAGGCTACCGCCACTGTCCGGGCACGGCCGGGACAAGGTTACCGCCACTGCCCGGGCACGGCCGGGACAAGGCTACCGCCACTGCCCGGGCACCGCCGGGACAAGGCTACCGCCACTGCCCGGGCACCGCCGGGACAGGGTTACCGCCACTGCCCGGGCACCGCCGGGACAAGGCTACCGCCACTGCCCTCGCTGTCTCGCAATCAGCCCCGACAGCAAAGCCACGCGAGTTTCAGATTGTGAAAAATGCGTATTTTGTGATTGGCTTTTCGCAAATGTTACAATGAATATTATATGTGTAATGTTAGAAAGTTATGTGTTAATTCTCTTAAGTAGAGTGTTAAATGCAGTTTTAGGTCACAACGTAATGTTGAAATAGAAACTCTGCAATGTAGATTTTTTTTTTACTCGCTCAAGCAAGAGATGAGATGATCAAGAAACTCTTCACACAGAGATGACAGTGACTTGGGGCCCATAAAGAGCTACTGCCTCATCAGAAAAGACAAACATTCTTCCACCTTCTCTGTCTTTATGGAACCACCAGGATTAAGGGGAAGAAGTTGACAAAAACCAGAAAAGTTCTTAATTTTCAAGGAATTTATGCATCATATATGAGATATATGAATATGCAACAGCCTATTGCTTTTAAGGTTATTCCTTTGTTCACAAGGGATGCTTTTTGTGACCTCGTGTCAGAGAGCATCCGGACGTCCATAATTCTTTGCTTTTTGTTGTCTTGTAATTGTCCTAACTCTAAATTATATTACTCTAATTGTATTACTATTTTTATAACCATTTTATTATTATTAAACTTTTAAAATTTTAAAAACCAAGCGATTGACATTTTTCACAAGGGCACGGTCCAACTAGCTCCCATGATGTCTGCCTGGATTAATTTAAAATGAATGCACCTGAAACCGAGTTCATAAGCAGGTACAGCGAGAGCCTTTTGAAAACAAGACAGCAAAACCTCTATTTTTTAACTACAAGCACCCCTTTTCCATCAAGTTTAAGCTAGGGAAAAATTACTCTTCTTTGTAATAACTTAAACATTGTTAGTTTATAATTACATTAATCAGTGCATTTTCACATCAATAGATCATCAAGGTGAGCCCACCAAGCACAAAAAGCAACAAAGCAAATTAATACATGAGTCAGTAAAACTTTCTAAAGGTTTTTTTGGCGGGAGGATAACCAGGCACTCTGAGGCAGCTTTCTTTAAATGATTCTTTTTAGAATGTCTGCAGGCTGTTTTAAGGAGTCACAATACACTGGAGGAATAGCTTAAAAGTAAGTCCTACAATAAATAACAATCAAGATGTTGCAGGGTGGAAATTAAAACATGATGCAAGCTGAAGAAATAAGGAGGACTGTTCAGCAAATGACTGCTCTAATAAAGAGGCAAGTCAGTAGGAAAAACAAGAGACTTGTGATCAGAAAGGCAGGAGAACATCGGCACTCCAGGCTGAAGAGTCAGCTCTTTACACAGGGAAGGAAAATTTCTGCTCGTACAATTTCAATTACCCAAACCAGTGAATTTTCTCCTGGTTTTAGGATCTTTTGATGGTTCACACAAGCACCCTCCCCATGCTGCAGGGGAAGAATAACCATCAACCTTGTAAGCCCTTTCTTCCATACAATATAAGCCAAAGAAGACATAGCTATAATAAGCTGCATGAAAAGCATGCTGGAAAAACCTCTCTCAGGCAGCTTTTTGCCTCTAATAGAACAGTCCCTCAGCAGCAAGAGAAAGTACCCTGGTTCCCTAAATGGAGTCTCTTCTCCAAAGCAGAATTAGGATGTGTTTTCTTCTTTACTCCTACATCAGGTAGAAAAAACATGCCATGCATGGATTGGATCCCAAATCCCAGAAAACCATCTCTCAGGACAGGACACACACCCATGAAAATCTTACAGAGACAAAATCCAGAAGCCATCCTTGACTTGGGGCTCCATGTGAGGAAGCCCTCAGAAAGAATTCTCATGGTTTAATTTGGGGGCTGCCACAGGATCTTCCTTCAGCTCAAAGCAGAAACTCTGTCAACACTTTCCACCCTCAAAAATTCTTTAATATTCACATAATTCTGGTCTTCAGTGGGTTCTCTCAGCCGTGAGTAATGTACTTCTTAGTAATGCAGTTCCATTTCAGGAAAGGATCTCATGAGTAGAGTGTTCAGTTGCCAAAGGGATTTCTTAAAGCAGCAAGGACTTAACCTTTAGGAGGGAACACATTCACACCTTATGACTTCTACCAAGCTCCCAAACACAAGACTTTCATAAAAGAACGTTGGTTGCCTTTATTTATATACCAATTTCTGCTGCATTTTCAACATGGATGTTGAATAAAAATCAAACTAAAACCCAGAGTAATATTATCCTCCTTAGAATTGGAAAGGGTCTCCATTTATTAAAAAATAGTTTTAGAAGTTCAAATTCAAAAGAACTAGGACCAAACAGAAACTATGTAGCCATTTCAGTTTCCATTCTCAGAGGTACAAACAATGAAGAGTTGTCCATAAAAATTCTAGTTCTGAGTATACTCACTTCTACAGTGCTTTGTGTTCCAACTAAATGTGCCAAAGTCCACCACAAATAGTATCCAGTAACATTTGGGAAAGGCAATTTGGGTGCTGAAGAGCTATTCAGGAGGATTTAGAGTGTGCTTTTGCCCTGGAAGTTGCTACGTTTCCCTTCTCAGCAGTGTCAATAAGCTGTCTCTGTAGACATGAAGGATGTCAAAAAGGAAATCAAAACCTCAGTCCTCACAACTCTAAGATCACTCACTATACACCGGGTACCTTCCAAAAGATTAACAGATTGGTGTTTTTGGAAGGTGTCACTGAGTGCAACCCATTTTTCTGAATTCCAACACCAGTTCTTCCTCAGTTTCTCCTGAGGGCTTTCCATCCTGGTGCCTACAAAGCCTAGATGAGGAGAGTTTGATCTGGCAGGGCAAGGCTGCAATTAGGCATGTTTGCAGTGACTGAAAGCACAGGATACACAGTATGACCTGAGCCCCTGGTAAATCAGGGGCTCATTATTTTCATGCCATGCCTTGTGCAGGCCTGCCCCATGCTGCAAAATGTTCAACTGCAGAAATCACAAGAAGAGAAATAAAACCTGCCCCACAGTGGAAAAGAGATTATACATTCTTATATCCTTCCACAGATGAGAAAGGAACTCTTCTGTTCATGTATGTTTCATGTATTTACAAAATGCTGAGACGTGTGGTCCTTCCATTCACAACCCATGAATGCATCCTCCCAGCAGGCAAAAACAATATTGGGGGAAAAAAATCCCAGCATTTAGCATCTGCACAACAACTCCTCATCTCTGGACGAGATTTAAAAAGCAACTGAAGATTTTCAAAGATCCAAGAGTCATGGCAACAGAATCAAAGCAGAGTCACATTTTGTTCATTAATGCAGTAGTGCAGGCAAGACTTTGGATCTAATAATATCTAAACAGAATGAACAAATAAGAAACTGTCAAAAGGGACTTAAACAGAAGCGGACTTAGAAAAATCCAGGACAAATCTTCAAGAGGCAAATTTAAGCCAAAGGTTTTTCACCACAACTCTAGAAAAAGCACTCAGTGCAAGACAAATAAAGTTTTCCAACAACAACCAAAACTCCAACACTATAGAGAAATTATATGTAATTTAAAACTAATAACTAATGAAACTAGTTAAAAAAACTAATAACTGATGAAAAATTGAATAAAAAGTACAGAACAGCAACACCTAATAATGAAAATATGAATTCAGAAACCATTTATTAAAACCTTCACCACTGTTAACTCAACATATGGTTCCTGAACATTTTCTTCCTCTTATTCAGGTACTTAAATAAAAAGCATCTGCAAGAATTTTCTGTAATAGCTTAGACTAACAAGAGTGTTTGTATGATTATTTAGTCATCTTTAACACCATATAAATTAATCCTGACAGGCTCTGCAGATTTATACCAGGGGTCATATGCATTATATTTTTAGTCCTTACTTTCCACATCTCTCCCTTCTGAGTTTTCCCTTCCATTGCCCATCTCAGAGCAAGTAAGAAACAGGAGAAGAGAAAACAGTACAACTTGGCAGGTTTATAAAACTGGACACTCACTAAACCAAAAAGAACAGGATATAATGTTGATCTGTACAAGGATTCAATCTAGTCCCTTCTGGCCAGTTCTGCCCCATGTCCTCAGCCCCAAACAGACCCATGGCTTTCCTTGCTGCCATACAAGCCCTACACACAGGGCTGCTCACAGCCCTAGATTATGTTTTCTATGAGTCAAGAAAATTATCTAAGCTATTTTAAGAATGTTAAGGCCAGAGGATTAAATACTCCAAAGTACCAAGAAGTGACAAGCTAAGAATCTATCTCCTGTATTACTCCTTTGTTGAGATTATTTATTACAAAGCTCTTATTTCACCATTATGCTTTCCAAACCAGAAATATTCTCTTTCTCAATCATAACAAGGTGTACTTTGAGTAAGACAAGACTGGAGTACTCAAACCTTTTAACATAACAGTTCTAGTTATATTATTACAACTTATGCTTCCAAATGCATTTTTCCCCCCATA